TTGGCATTCAACTGTCGCAACAATTCGGGGTCAATGAGATGGTCGGTCTGTGCTCCAAATTGTGTGGGGCGCGTGTCGCTGGGCATTTCTTAAAATTTCGTTGGTAAAATTCGTAAGGTTTTGGAGAGGTACAATGAACACGTAAGGGAAAAGCGCTACCGTAATTTGTATAATAGGTTTCTAATTAGAGAATAAAAATTCAGTATAAATTTAAAAAAAAAGAGGGACGTCACGAAGTAATATGCAAATTCGAAATTCCGAAATTCTATAGGAGGCTTACCGGGCAATAGAATAAAGGTTTTTTTTTTTTTTTTATGAAAGTATAAAGGTGTTATCAAAATAAAAGTTCAAAACCGACTAAATAAGACGCGAGTTAAAAGGTTTTTTCTGTTTAGGTAGATACAACAACTTTTGCAGTGGCTTTATTGCTTTTTTCAACTCTGGTAATAAATGCAAACAACTCTGGTGAAAGTCAAAAGTTATGGTGTAGGTAAGAGTTGGAAAAAAAAAAATATTTTTTTTTTAAACAAAGAAAGTAGAAATTTCTGTAATTGTGGGCAAGTGTTGGGCTGAGGTCTGCTTGAATTTGGTAAGACAAATGCTGAGTGCGGATTTGATTGATATTTAAGTTCGAATCACAAGCAACTGATGTCCAAATATGGCAAAAATTTTATAAACTTGCAACCAGGAAATGCAAAAATGCTTGGCGCTATTTTTATAAATTATTCATCCTAGTACGCGATTATGTTTTTCCCAATTATTTTTTATGATTAGTTGGATTTCATTAATGAATTTCCGAAATGCATGATTTTTTTAATCGGACATGATGCTATGATATAGTGTGTTTATCTGAAAAATAAAAAAATCATTATTCCGCCAATATAAATACTGTAATACTGCACATAACCTAACATTATTTATAATAACGCATGTATAATATTAATTATTACTAAAGTTTGTAATTTAACAAGTTATTTTATTATAATTTAATAATAATAGTATACATATATACTATTTTATCTATTTATTTACTTATTTTTATTTAATATACAGTATACATATAGTATATTTAATTTTTAATCAAATTTTAAATTACTTGTTTATTAAATTATATTGAATTACTTATAATAAAAATTACATATAACAAGCAATAGAATTAATTTGTAAAATTATAACTAATATTTTCTTTATCTAATATATATAATTGAATTAAAGCATTTATCAAAATTCTTATAATCTTATTTGAAAACTTTAGTACAATATAATAAATACTTTATCTTTCACTAGTATTAAATAAAATAAAAATCTTTAAAAAAAAAATAATAGTAATAATAATAGTAACAATAATAGTAATAATAATAACAATAACAATAATAATAATAATTATTATTATTAAAAACCAATTTCTTCTTCTTTGATATTATTAATTAATTTTTATTTATAACAATATTTCAATTAATTTTTAACTTGTTATAGAAGTATTCATTCAAAACAACTTTAACTATTTATAATATATCTTTAATTTTATTTCTAACTATTATAACTTAACTTTCACAAATTCTAAATAAATATTTATAATTGTTTGATATTATTTAAGAGATTAAATAATCATTATAATCAAATTAACATTTAATCTATTGAAAGTTATATGTAAAAAATATTTTTTTCCAAGATATATATTTTGTTATAAATAAATAAATAAATAAATAGTGTTTATCTATATTAAAAATATATAAATAAATAAATAAATTAAAATTTTTTATTTAATAAAATCATTATTTATAAATTATTTTTTATAAATTGAATTTTTTATTATTTATAAATTTTTTTATAAAAATTTTTTTCTATTTTTAAATTAATAAATATTATATATAAATATTATTGCTTTTTTTTAAAAAATTTATTAAATCAAACTTTTATTTTTATTAAATAAATAAATTTGATTTGTGAAATTAAAATTATTACTATTTTTTTTTTATTTATAAATTTTAATTTTAAAATTATACTAATTATTGTATATTTTTAAAATTATAATATATTATATCAATTAATTTTTTTATATTATTGGTTTTATTATCTTGTTTTTTAAGATAATCATATGTTTAATATTTATTTATGAAAAAAAAATTAATTATAATGCATTGAATATAAATTAATTAATTAAACTATTTATTTTTTTAAAAATCAATTCTTATTTCTATAATATATTTTTATTGTATTTCTAATAACATTTGTATTTGACCATAAAGAAAAAACAAATCAAAATATATTTTATAATGTAAAATAACGAATTTGTATTAATTATTTAATATTTTTATTACATTTACCGTAATTAATAAGTATTGATTAAAATTTACTTTATTAAATGTCGATGAATAATTTTTTTTTTTTTTTTACAATAAATTTTAAAATAAAAAAACTGATATTATTATCATTAATATAAAAATATTTTGTAATTTATAACAGTTTAAATTGTACATACAGTATAACGCAGTTTATTGATGGTAAGAAAAAAGTTTATATTACAAATAATAAAATATGAAATGCTTCGTGCAAAAAGATGAATCAGTGAACTTCAACCTACAACCTTTGGAGTAACTTTAATGTTCAAATCGTAAACGTGATTAACTATCGTATACACATGCTTCAAGGGTGCATTCTTGTCAGCTAATTCTACCTCGTACTTTCTATACAATGAAATCAGCAATGCTTTTATCTGTAGTATGGCCCATATTCGACCCGGACAAATTCTCATTCCACCGCCAAATTGCATAAAGGCGTTCTTTGGTATAGAGTCAGCTCCTTCTAAAAATCTGTCGGGATTAAATTCCTTCGGATTCTTCCAATGTGCTTTGTTCATGTGAATTCCATGGAAGTTGGTGAAAAACATGGTTCCTGCTTTCCATTTCATACCACCTATTGTATCATCCTCCGCTGCTGTACGGAAGAATAACGAAATAGCGGGGTTAAGACGGGCGGACTCTTTTATTATTGCATCGAGAAAGATGAATTTGTCGAGGTCTTCGAATTGGAGCGGAGTATTGGGATCGTCACCGAGAATATCGTGGATTTCTTGAAGGAACCGTCTTCGGTATTGAGGATGGGTACACAGATAATATACAATGAAACTAACCGAATTAGCGGTTGTTTCAATACCCCCAGCAAATACTTCCAACATATTAGATGATATCTCTTTTTCGGACATAGTTCGAAGGGAGCCTTCAACCTCAACACTCATCCCTCTTGATGTATTAGCGGTAATTAAGAGTGTTAACACGTTAGAACGCAATGACATGTCCTCTGGTGTCTTTTCGATTTCAGATTTACGATCTCTGATTATTCTAAAAAGATATTCGTCCAACCATTCTTTATTTTTCTTATATTTTTCATTGTAATTATATAATATTGGTACGTAATTTCTGAGGAATGGTGGTAGTAGAACAAAGAATTTCATTGAATATTCCCAGGTAAGTAAATGGTTTAAAAATACTTCAGTTTCAGCTGGTTCAGATTTACTATTATTATTTTTCGCGATCTGTTGATAATAAGCGAAAGAGGCAGTTGCTTTTCTTCCGGTGGTCATGGTTGTCGTAGAATCTGTAAAGAATCTGGTCATCCACTGTGGAAAATCCAATTCTTTATTGTAACCATGTTTAGCCCAATATGATTCGATTTCTGTGAATCTAGTAATTGTTTCTTCCAATGCTTCTTTCAGAAAATTCTTGGACATCAATGATTGTGTTAAGAATTTACGATTAAACTTCCAAGTATGTATATTACAATTCAATACTAGTCCTTTATCAGCCATATCTAGTTCAGCGAGTCCTCCGTGAGAATCTGGTTGATGGATGAAATAATTACTTTTTGTCGAAGAGGTATATATTTTCTCCACAAGGTCAGCACGGCCCAGCCAAATGTGACGTTGTGGTCCCAAGTAAACTTCAAACATGTCTCCGTATTTTTCCTGCAACGTGTCTGCCCATAGGGCGAAATCAGAATTTGCCTGAAGCAAATTGCCGAGTAATGGAATTGGTAACGGACCAGGCAGAGGGTTCGCGCGAGTAAAATATTTGAAGTAATACCACGCTACATAGGTGGCAAAAAATACAGCGGAAACCGTGAGCCAATCCGAGGTTAAAAAAGAAAGTAGCAGAGACACTAACGCCATTTTTTACTAATTATATTGTATTTAGAGAATGACACTTTTATTTCTTCAAACTTTCAGAATCTGGTTCATATTTATATAAATTCCTCGTAGAAACTATATTGTATTGATAAAATATTGTTCTCGCTTCTATCTATTTTTTTCGCGACAATATCAATTGAAACTTTCATTACATTAATTAAATTGTGTATCCAATAAAAAAGCTTTTGACCTTCGCATTATTTAAGATACAATTCTTTACCATTTCCTTCCTTCAAGAATTTTATTTTTAATAATAATCTCTAATGACAACAATATTAATTTATGATAGGCAATCGTATTGTGTAAATAACACTACTGTATTGTCTACGGTTATGGAATCATTACATTTGGTTGATCTATAGCTGTACAAAAGACAATACAAATTTTACTAATAATAATTTTTTTTAAATACATTGTATTAACATTTAGGCGACAAAAATGCAAAGTATGATTTTTCGGTTCATACTTTTTTTAAACAATACTATATAAAGAATTACCCGCATATACTTAATTTATAGGCTACACGTGATGTTATAACACATCGCTACGTTTTGTGAAATTATTAAAAAATTCATTAAAATAAATTCATTAAATATTTAAAAAAAAATCTCTTTTTTGTATACAACTTTTTTTCAAAAATTTCTTTTATGGTAATTTTTCAAAATTAAAAAATAAATATTTTTTTCTTTCTTTTAATATACAAAAGTTTTTTATACTTCCTTTTTAAATTATATAAGAGAATGTTCATGAAATTATTTTTTTATAAATTCTTTTTAAAACTTTTTTTGTTTTTACTTCTTATTAATATATAAATTTTATTAAATAACAATATCTTTATCTTAAAAAGCTATCTTCTAATTCAAAAAATCAAACTTTATATCAATATTGTTTATACTATTGGCTAGAATTTCAATAATATATATAATATATTGTATATATATCTTTTAATAATATTTAATATATTTTGTTATATTATAAAAAATCAAAAATTTTTATTCAAAATATTTTTATTAAAAACCTTAATCAATTTACTTATGTCAATTAATTACTATTTCAAATTCAATTAATTAAACATTATCAAATATTAAAATAAAATTATATATTTAATATATTATATAATAATTAATATATATAATATCTTTTTTTTTTTGATAATAATAATTAAAACAAAATTAAAAAAACTCTTTCCGCTGATCCCTTTGCCAACCCAAAAAAACAGACGTTCTCAAAGATATTTTTTATTTTTGATAATAAAGTCTATACACTTTCTTTAAAAACATTACCCTCTGAAAGCAGGTGCCTCCCCCACTTGTTTACCTTTCCTTCTTTGAAAAACTTTGGATATTTCAGCGACAAAATATACAAAACT